TACAAAACTCTTAGAAGAACCATCGGAGTAAATCTTCATGACTTTGGATTTGACCATGGTTTCTTGGATATGGCACCAAAAACACAAGCAACAAAAGAAATAGGTGAATCAGTCTTCACCAAAATTAAGAATCTTTTAGTTTGAAGACATAATTAGAGACATATGAAAAGGAAACCCATACAATGGGAGAAATATTTATTCCTCATCTAGTGTCCAGAATATATAAAGAACTTAACTTACCACTTTAACAACAAAAAAGATAAACAACTCAAAATGAGCAAAAGTCTTCAATAGACATTTTCACAGAGCAGGTTAAAAAAAATGGACAGGAAAAACATGAAAAGATGCCAAATGTCGTTAGGTATTAAGGAAATTCCAATCACAACAATGAAATACAACATCACACCCCTAGAATGGCTATAATCACACAGACAATAACAAGCTCTGATTAGAGTGTGGAGAAATTACCAGTGGAAATGTAAAGTGTTGTAGCCATTGTGGAAAACCAGTTGAGCAGTTTCTCAATAAGTTAAACATGGAATTACTGTATGACCCAGCAAATACACGCCCATGTATACATAGACCCGAAATAATTGAAAACAGATGTTCAAACAAAAAAACTGTACACAAATGTCCATAGTAACATTTTTCACAATAATCAAAAAGTGGGAACAACCTAATGTCCACCAGCTGAGGAATGAAAAACTAAATATGGTATCCACATGATGAAATAGTCAGCCATAAAAAGAAATTGGTTACTGACACATGCTACAACATGAATGGGCCTTAAAAACTGGTAAGGGAAATTACGGTAAAGGAAAGGAGCCGGACACAAAAGGCCACATTTTGTCTGATTCCATGTATATGAAATGTTCAGAATACACAAAATTCATAGAGAAATCTAGGCTCTCCGAAGAAGGGGAAATAGAGAATTACTGCTTCATTGATACAGGGTTTCCTTTTGGAGTGATGAAAGTGTTCTGGAACTATGGAGTGCTACTGGTTGCATGACCTTGTAAATGAATTAAATGCCAATTTTAAAATGGCTAAAATGGTAAAATTTAATATTGTATGTATTTCACCACAATAAAAGTAAAAGCCAATGATATTGTTAGCTATTATTTTTAAACTGTATCTTGAAATCATTTGAGACATACAGAAAAGCTGAAGGAATACTATGAAGAATGTTTATATACTCTTCATTCAGATTCCCTAAATATTATTATTTTATGACATTTGCTTTATCAGTTTCTCTCCTTCTCACTCTTCCTCCCCTACCCCCATGCCCCTTCTTTCCTTCCTCCACTTCCCATGCTCTGCAGACCTTTACATTTGGACAATTGTCCCACGAATGTCCTTTATGTTTGTTAAAGACAAATTTTGTCCCAGTCAAGGACACCCCTAGCATCATGCACGTTACATTTAGTTCTCATGTCTCTTCCATTTCTTTTAATTTGGAACTGTTGCTCGGTCTTTGTCATTCATGACCTTGATATTTTTGAAGAGACCACTCCCTTATAGAAGGTTCTTCAATTTGGGTTTGTCCTAAGTTTTCCCATAATTAGATTCGGTTTTGCATTTTTGCCAAAGAGAGCATATAAATCGGGCCCCATCCTTCCCAGGGCACCATATCCGGAGGCCCAGGATATCAGCTCATCCATCATTGTGATGTTTAGGTCACTCATTGGTAAGGAGACCTTCCTGACCTGTACACTGTAAACTCACTCCTTCTCACTTTGTCAATAAATAGGAATCTTATGGGGTGGGTATCTTACAGAGAGAGATTTTGAGACTCTGTAAAAGTCCTATTTCTCATCAACATCTCACTCCCTAGCATTAGCATGTATTCATATTCCTCTTCAAACAGCTTTTACTATAGTTTTGACCAGTGATTTTCCAGTTCCATAATTATTAATTCCTACCTGTATTCATAGGGAAGAGCTTTCCCTGTTCTCTTATTATGTATTTATTCACCGAATAAATATTTATAAATAAAGTAGATATAGATAAATATTTATTCAGTGAATAAATAAATATCAAAGTCTGGATTCTTTCATTTTTTTTTTTACTGTCATTTATTTTTATGCCCTATTTGTCTCTGATTTGACCAATAAGAGCTCATTCATGCTGGCTCCTGTCCTTTTGACCCGTCCTGTAACTCTCCGAGTGTTCTTATTTATTGACACAACCAGATGTTCCAGGGTCATCTTGTGCTTTCTGTAACTCAAGACACTCTAATCAGCCAGGTCTTCAAAGAGTCCTAGTTCCCTTCAGTGAAAATTGGTATTTAGAAACCAAGGTCTGGCTTTATTGTGAAAACAATTACTAAAAAGACCAAAAAACTGACTTTCTACCTGATGAAACTTTGGAATACTTCATTAAAATGTTTTTTTTGTTTGTTTGTTTGTGTGTTTGTTTGTTTTGTGGCACTGGGGATTAAGCCTTGGGCCTTGCACATTGTAGGCAAGTGCTCTACCACTGAGCTACACACCCAGTCTCCTTGTTTGCTTTGTTCAATTGAACAGGGTATGAAAATATTGGAAATATTGCGATTTTTCCACAACCTTATACCACATCTGTTTTTATTTTATTTTTTTTAAAATCAATAATCAATGTTTTTATGAACGTTTACCTTCTGTCTTTGTCCATTTTGTGCTGCTCTGACATAGTGTCCGACACTGGGTGATTTATAAAGAACAGAGATTTCTTTCTTACAGTGCTAATGGCTGAGAAGTCCAAAATCAAGTGTTCTGTATCTGTTGAGGCCTTTGTGCTGCATTGTCCCAAAATCTCTCCCCATAAGAAGGTGGAAGGGAAATAGAGGGTGAGAGGAAATTCAACAGGGGCCAAACTCATCCTTTTAGTCCCACAATAACAAATTCACTCCAATAATGACATTAACCCACGCATAGCCTAGTCCCTTTTAAAGGGTTTCACCTCTTAACATTGTTGCATTAAGGATTGTTTCCAACACCTGGGTTTGGGGGAACATATTCAAATTGTAGTTCCTTTCTTCTACTCTTACATAGAAATAAACATTTCTTGCATAGAAATAAAATGTACGTATAGTTGCAAATATATATATCAGGCCACTTATGTCTTCCTTCTTTCACTGATATGAAATCCTAAATATTTCTCCACATTGCAGCAGGGCCTCAAACCCTCTTCTCTTGCAGGGCTTCCCACAGTTCCACTGAACTGCTGTGCCCTGTGCACCAAGACCTTCCTCCCCCAGTGTTTGGTAGGGGGGCTTGAGAGTTTAGCTGTTGAGATAGTTTTGAAAATCTAGCACCTAACTTTTTGTTTCAGTTGAATTTGTTCCTTCAGTTAACTTCCCAGAAGTCAAGGTATATTTTTAAAAAGATGTGACAATGTTTATCCCCTTCACCATCTTTTCTGCCTCGAATCCTTCCCGTTTCTTTCTCTTTCATGGATGCTGGAGCTCCAACAGTGAGTTGGAGCTTTCACTGGTCGTGATCAAGTAATAAAACACAGATACCTGGTAGGTGCCAGACCCCATGCTGTGTGGTGTACAGATGCATGATGCGCGCGCTTCTGCACCAGCATTTTTTATTCCTCACAACAAATATACAAAGAGTTCTTATCCATGGAAGTTGAGAGGTCAAGGAGAATTCGCCCTGAGGTCTTTCTTGCTCCAGAGCTTTTGAAGCTGCCCCTCACTCCCACAGGCAGCCATGTGACGTGTTTGCACCCCGATGTAGGATGCATCATCTCCCCTTCCTAAGCATAAACCTGGTTCTGGGACCTGACCCTATTTTTTTTCGTAATTATAAAGGGCAAGGCTCAGCTGCTAAACAGACCTGAGAAGAAATAGGGATGGAACAGTCATTAATTGAAGGATTGCCTATGGCTCGCTAATTAATTTCAACCCAAGGGAGGCCTCTAGCAGAGAAGGCAGACTCCAGATATGAGTGACAAAAAAATTCCAAAATAAGACATGCTTACACCTCTCTCACACTGCCCAAAGGCAACACACTGTACTAGTTAATTAAGAACTTGGATTCCAAACTTAGCAATAACCCTTATAAGCTGTATGACCTTGGGCTCTAGACCTCTGTTTTCCCATCTATGTAATAGGGTAAAAATAGGATCTTACTTAAAAGAATTTTGTGGGAATTAGCTACATGATTCCATGGAAAGTGCCTAGGGCAAAGCCTGGCACATAGTAAATGCACAATAAACATTAACTCTTATTGTCTTTGTCTTGATCAGTTTAATATTTATATCACCAATATGAATAAAGAAATGGAAGGAGTGGCCAAGACTACAGGCTATCTTCAAATATCCTCTCAGCCTTTGATGGTAGAAGTCACCTATTTTTAAATGGATACATAGCCATACTGAACAAAGATTACATTTCCCTTGTAGCTAAGTTGTAACCATGCAACTCAGTTCTGATCAGTGGTGTATAAGAGGAGATGACATGTGACTAACAGGAAATGTCTTTAAGGCCCTTTCCTGGATTTCCTCCTCCCTGCTGGCTGGGTTTCAGACCGGAGGGCTTGAGGTGCAGCAGCCATCCTGGATAAGGAAGTGACCTTGAAAACAGAAAACCCACATGATAGAGCAACAAGATAGAAGGACACTGTGACACACCATATCAACTCTGGGCTGACCACCTTCAAACTACTTGAATAAACTTCTGTCTTATGGTAGCAGCTGTTATTTAGGAGATATCCTGAATGGGTGAATAAAATTCTAACCAATACCAAAAGAATAACTTGCTTTTAAGGGGACTTAATACTAACTATATAATTCATTGAATAACCGAGCTCAGGAGCAATAGACTAAATCTGATAGCAGTTAGGCAGTGGTAATGTAAGGTACTTCCCAGCATCCATAAAAGCAGCCTCTCAATGGCCAAATGAGATGACTGTGGCTTGGGGATCTTTTGAACAGAAAAGCCTTATTAAGGAGATGGCGGAGTTTCTGTCATAGGGTAGGAGACAGTAATATGTGTCCCACTTCCTCTTACCCTTTCCCCAGAAGCATCTGACTTCAAGGCAGACTTCATACAAATTGGGCTGTTTCAGTTCAGGTGATTTTTAGCTCTGTTCATAGCAGAGCATACAGCAGAAGGAAGGAGATGACTCTGCCTTACTTTTTGTAGGTCAGTCAGCACCTGGAACATAAAGAAGTGGGAGTGTTTTTAGAGAAAGCCTGGAAAAAACATCTATTTGGAAAAGAGACATCTTGGGATAGGCAAGAAATGATCCCTGATTTAAGTACCAAAAGGATGTTAGGGAAAAAGAGTTTCTGTAATCACGTCCTGTGCCTGTAAAGGGCTCTAATGTTGCAAAGACGGATTTCTGTTTCACTAGTCAATGAACATGGGTTAATCATCTGTAACTATCAGACTGTGGCTGCTAACTGCCCTACCCAATATTGCCTCTGTCCTTCTTCCTCCTGAACATAATTCAGATATCATTCTGATTAGTAAAGTGCCCAACTGAAATACCTTCCCACAGTACCCTGAGGCTTGAGGTGGCCATGTGACATAGTGCTGGCCAATGAGATGTAAGTTGAAGTAGAATGGGGGTCTCCTAACTAGAATGCAGATGGCATTTTGCAGGAACACCAATAATCTTACCAACAAGAACAAAAGCCAGACACTGAAGATGGCACAACTAGAAGACAGAAGGAGTGGGACAACTTTGCTCTCTGGACTTGAGCTTGCTGCCTTCTGGACTTGTTATGTGGGAGAGTAAATCCCTTCCTTGTTTAACCACCATAGCAAGATTCACTTAAAGGCAGATGACCCTCAGTCCTAACCCAGGCATTAGGCTTAAGTCCTCGGGGTCGATAGTGTTTCTGATAGAGGCTTTCCCTGCTTATTAGACAGAACGTGAAGAAAACTTCCTCAAAACTGGAGGAGTTGCAAGATGGACTTAGTTCCAGGGGAGTGAGTGACCTCTGACCACAGAGGAAGGAGTACAGGGACTGGCAGGCACTGTCGCAGCTGGGATGGTGTGAAGCAGGACTGAGCAGAGTGATAGGCTTTGTTTAGTGACCTTTAAAGTCTTTTCTAGTGAAAAAAAAATTATAATGATCAGAAAGTTAAAAACAAAAAAAAAGACAAAGTAGGTGGACACAGGGGATACCAAATTTGGTTGACTGGCCATAGAGTGGTGTTGGTGGTATTTGCATTAAGATGCATGATTTTGTTACAATTTCTAAAAATGCATTTTCCCTCAACCAACCCTCCTCCCATAACTATATCGTGACAATTTTAAGTTCCTAATGGAATTTTTGTTTGTATTTCATCTGTTGTCATATAGTTTATCCTACTTTTTTACCACTAGGATTTTTTTTATCTTAGATTCAGAAAAGTAACATGGCAGTAAAACATAGCAGTGTTTTGATTCTCAGATACTAATAGATGTATTATTTTTTGTGTGTGTTTACAGCTGTAATAATAAGGCACATTTTCCCAACTGTTATTAAAATGCTAGTATCCTATAAACTAAATACTAGGGATTGATTTATTGGCAAAAATTCTGTAAATATATGAATACTTTTAATGGAAAAATGAGATTATTTTCCTCTCATGCTGGAAACCAGATTCTTTGATGGGGTAGATATAAGAAAGTTTGAACTTTATTGGATTCCATGACTGATCCCTGATGGTAATCTCAAACTTGAGACAGCAAGGATGAGCTGCGTGACTTTGTGGAAGTGTCCGATGGTGACTGGTAAGATGTAAATGCTCAACAGATGTCTGTTGAATGAATGAACAATGATTCTCTTTGCAGCCTGGTTATCTCTGTGTCAAGGCTATTAGATGATAATAAATACTGTGCATAGGGAACCAATTAGGGTTTCTGAAAGTGCTTCACAATAGAGGATTCAGGGAGGGTGAAGGATGATACTTAAAATGGAAATTACACAGAGCCTCACTCCATGCTTATTAAAATCAGAATCTTTTCAGTTAGGGCTCAGGACTCTGCATTTTCACATACAACTCCATCCCAGAGGCTTCTCCTGTATAATAAACCTTGAGCACTCTGGGCATGCATGCTAGTCATTGCGGGGGCAGCTTTTGCAAACTGACTGGAAGAAGACTACCGCTGGAGCAGGATTTTCTTTGATCCTTGAGTTGGCAGTAGTAGCAAATGTGCTTGTCTCTGGCGACACCTGCTGGTTGAGAACAATAATTAGCAAACAGCCCTTGAAACTACCCAAGTATTTTCTGTTTTGGGACCTGCAATACTCAGGATAGGATGAAGCATTTTAGTGTGTAAACTCTAACAGTGATAATCAAAGATCCTGATATCTGGGGGAAGGTAGGTTTAGGTTTGTATCTCCTTTTTATAGCTTCCAAGTAGAATCTATTTCTAGTAGAAGAATATTGCCTTTCAATTCCTTACATGTTTTTAGAACAAATGTTCCTGTATTATGCTTATTCGAAAAACTATCAACTTTTGGAATTCCACTGAAAGTATATTCTGAAATTTTCAACTAGGGAATTTATTCCTTGTACTTGTGTTAGGGAAATATTTTAAGAAGTCAATTCTTTTCTCTTGTTGAAGATTTCAAACAAGATAAAGAAAAAAAATTCCATGGTATGGTAGCCATGGAAGTGTGCGTGGTGGGTCACGACATTGGGGAGGGTGGTGACACTTCATCTTATTTGGAGAGAGTGGGGTCAAGGAACAAGATGGGGCAGATGTTACCAGGTAAGAAGTTCCCAGAAGAGAGACTCTCTATACTAAGGAGAGGTGTGAAATACTATTTGTGGTACATTCAGTTGGAAAGGGATCACCTCCCAATCATTTGTTCTTATAAAGTATAGGGCTGGCAAGTGAGGCTAGGGAGTCAGGCCAAGCCTCACCCGCCTACCAGTAAGATGCTATTTTATCCTATAGGTGGTGAATAACCTCAGAAGAGTTTAAATTTAAGATTTGCTTTTAACTGAATTGTTGATCCCATTGGAAATATCAATGCCCAAAATATACCCCCTCTCATTTATCTGACAGTGATCAAATCCAAGTGGATTAGAATTCCTAAATAATACTGGGTCTGTTAGTTAAATATTTTATGCAGATTCAACACAAAAATCACTAGTCCATTTGTCAAGTCCCTTAACATTCTGGAAATTAGATTTGAACTGTGTGCTGGAACAGAGGGTTCTTTTATGTAGATATTTGACAGAGATGGATGTCTGTGCCTTTTATCTTAGAGGTTCTGCCTCCTCTCCTTGTCTTAGCACTGCTACACAAAGCATTCCCATCACACAGACCTTAGGAAAGTTGATGTCCTTATTGGATCTAAGAATTTATTCAGAAACTGAGGTACAAAATAGACGAACTCGTAATTTTCTACATAATTTTGCACCCTTTAAAAATAAGTGATAATGCTGGGTATGGTGGTGCGTGCCTGTGATCCCAGCGGCTCAGGAGGCTGAGACAGGAGGATCGTGAGTTCAAAACCAGCCTCAGCAAAAGCGAGGCCCTAAGCAACTCAGTGAGACTCTGTCTCTAAATAAAATACAAAATATGGCTAAGGATATGGCTCAGTGGTCGAGTGCCCCTGAGTTCAGTCCCTATTGTTTTCCACAGCAGAGTGAGTTGCTCACTTTGTGATCATACACACACACACAAGACCTGCCCTCATATAGGATAGCTAAGTGGTCCCTTTGTCTCTCTCTCCTGCTTAGTCTTCAGTCATACCATGCATATCCTGGTCTCGTGAGAAAAGCATGGGATTCGGAATCTGATGGACATGAATTTGGACCTTGCCTTCCCCATTATGTTGACAAGTCACTTCTCTCTTTCTTTACCTGGCAAAAGGAACTAATGATACCTTCTCTTGAGGATTGAATGAGAAAAATGTGTGTGAAACCCTGACACCAGTGCCCAACATTCATAGTCCTCAAAAAAGGTTAGTTCCTTTCCCTTCTTTTTCTGTTCTTCCCTTGATGCCAGTGAGTCATCAAAAGACCCAGAAACATACAGGCTCAGACTGCAACGGTGATAAGTGGTCACTAGTTCATGCTGTTCTGTGCTGTCCTGTGGAGCTTACTCCTAGAACAGGTTAATTAAATAGAAGCACTCTTCTTACTTACAGAATTTCTCTCCCAACCCCTTTGTAAAGATTTTGAGCTCTTTCAGGTATGGAACCTGACAGTCATTAACCAGTCTGTCCCCCAACCCACCCCACACAAGAGGGCTGTCAATATTTGCTCACCAGATGTGATCCCCAAAGCCAGGATTTCCTGGCCTATGGGCTGGGCTGTCCTATCTGCACAGATAAGCAGCTTCTGCCTGACTGGCCCAGCCCCAAATCAGGAGAGGGCCTCAGCCACTCCTGCCAAGGTCTGACTTTCTTATTGGCAGATATTGCCTAACAGCATGTGGCTTCTTGCTCATTAGCTAAGTCAGCAGCCTAAAGGACATTACTCTCAAAGGTCTGGTCCAAAGTTAATCTTTGACTTAGAGGGATAACACTTGGAGGGACAGTCTGCATTGCACACAGTCTATTTATCTACTCTTAATAGCCTGGAAATGCCAAAATGTTGGCAAACTGTGACTGAAAAAAAAATTTTTGGCAGTAAACATGACAATGAAAATAAAGCCAAGCAACAAAAGACTAAGACACAAAAAAAAAAAAGATTTACAAGCTGAAGAATCCTAGTGTTAGCACAGACACGCAGTAGGAAGCTAGGCAAAGCTTTAGTATTTCTGAATAGCAGTACCCAAATAGAAGTACCTGCCCACGGGCGGCTGCAAGACAAAGCTGGTGCCTGATATGGGTGGGGGGGTGATAATGATCATCCTGAAATATTTCCCGGCTTTGTTTGTACTCAGATGATTTTAAAGTATGTCCAAAGTCATTTTTATTTTAGTGTTTCAATAAGCTTCCCAGGGTGGGAAAGGGATTGTGCCTTCATTGTAATTTTTACAAAGAGAATATCTTGCAGGAAATACACATCAGGAGAAAAAGCCTTGGGGTAGATCACAGGTCTCAGTCTGGTATTTAGAAGGATTGAACATCTTGCACTCTGGGAAGCTTCTCGTTTGCTTCGGAACACATGACTTACAGGAACAGCCAAGCATTAATTCTTAATAGAAATTAACTTAGCCGTTCCTGCTTTTTCCCAGTTGGGAAGTCCTCCTAGGAGGCAGCATGCTTCCAGGCTGCCTGCTTTGATGGTGAGAGAGCAGAGCTGCTGCCTTGGACTGTCTACACAGAGCTCCTTGCTCTGTCTCTGAGCAGCTGGCGTCCATACAGTTCCTCAGCCCTTCATATACTGGCCAGAGTCTCTTTGGTTGGCCATGATTCAGAACAAATGCATGGTCTGCAGAGCCCTGCCCATTCCAGAATCCCCTGATCTGGACAGAATGTACTCTGTTGTCATGCAGGACCCCAAGATTTTGGCAGGAAGAGATAAAATAGGACCAAATGTCCTGTTTTCCTTCTTAATGGATTCCTAGGAAGAAGGAAGAAGGTTAGAACATTGGATTAAATAAATGTCAGGGTCACCTGTGACTATTATTATTATTTTTTTTTTTACAAAATGTTGGTCTCATATTGGGCATGGAAAGTTGACATTACAACATTCTTTCATTTGTCCCAGAGACATACATGCATGGTGGGGTATGAGGAAAGTTACAAAGACTCTTCTTTTACTGGGAAACAAGCATCTTTTTTTAGATGTCTTTTTTTAACTTCCAAACTATGGAAGTCTACAAAGTGCCAGAAAATTGAATTCATTACAAGTCAACGCCATGCTTATCTAAAAATAATGGTTTAGATAAGTCTGCCGTTGTGTTGCTTCAGTAGCCAACTGAGCAAGGCTCTGCAAGAGCCCATTCAGAAAGAGGCAGATCTACAGTATAATTTTGTGAAAAAACTAACAAATATCTAGAGTTCCAAAGGTTTGACCACTTCATATCTAGGTTAAGTATCTTTTATCTAAAATGCTTAGAACAAGTGTTTCAGATTTCAGATTCTCAAAATTTTGGAATATTCACATATACTTAATGAGATATCTCAGGAATGGAAACCCACATCTAAATATAAAATTCATTTATGAATTATACACATAGCCTGCAACTTGTTTGGTTTTGTGGGAGGGAGAATTGAAGGGTTGAACTCTGGGGTAGTAGTCTACTACTAAGCTACATCTCCAGCCCTTCACATTTTTTTATTTTGAGACAAGATCTCACTAACTCACTGAGACTGGCCTCAAACTTGTGATCCTCCTATCTCAGCATCCTGAGTTGCTGAGATTACAGGGACACCACACCACACTCAGCCTGAAAGTGTCTTTAATGTCCCTGAATTATGACTGTGACCCATCACATAAAGTCAGATATGAAGTTTTCCACTTGTGACATGATGTCAGTCCTCAGCATTTTGGATTTCAGATTTTTAGATTAGGGGTGCTCAACATGTAGTTTTATAAAGGAAGATGTTAAGCCTTTTAAGAAGTGTTTCACTTTAAAATTACTGGGGTTTTTTTTCATTACAAATATAACCTGGAAATGGTTCCTCTAGTTTTCAAATATGCAATTTGATAAAATGCATTACTATGTTATGAATTGGATTACTGGAATAGCATACATTGCTTCAGAAACAGCTATCATGTCCAAAAAATGCAATATGGTACTATGGTAAGGGCTTTATGTGAATTATCTCTTTACTTTCTTATAAGAATCACAAGACATAAAGTTGTTCCCATTTTAAAAACGGGAGCACAACTCAGAGACACAAGAAATTTAGTTACTTAAGTAAGCATGACAGCCCCAGTCATTAACTGTCAGTAACTATTCTTGATCACAGGAGCTTGCACAATAGATAGATATGTTTAGAGTAGCAGCAACACTCATAATCAAGTCATGCATTAGGTTCACAATATTCCAGGAATCTTCTTTCGATTCTTTGAACACACGGATGCACGATCATTATTTTCCAGCATTGCAAAGGTCTAAGTCTTCCCATGACTTTGGACTCCTGAGAGCAGTAAACATGGGTGCTTGCTGTTCATGCTCACATCTTCCACTAAGCACCAGTGAGAGCAGAGCAATTTTGTAGTTAGGTTGGACTCTCCCGAGTTACAAAGGTAAAGAAGTTTGCTCACTCCTTCTTTTCCTCAAGGTCAGAGTTAACAGCTGGCAAATTAGGTACTCAAGTCAAGAAGTATAAGATTTACTCTCAAATAAAGGGTTAGGAGCTTGTGCTACTGTGCCAAAAAGGACCCTCACACTGAAGGACTCCTGCCTTGACCTTGGGTCTCCTGCTCCATCCTTCTCTATCAGGAGCCATGAGACAAACCCCTGAATAGAGCAGTGTCCTGCCTCATGGACTGGCAGGTTGATGTGGCCATTGGTTAAGGGACAAAATTTGCATAATGTTCTAAAGACTTGCTATAAAATGGTACCCTCTAAATCAAAATTGTTTGGGGCGAAGCCTAATCTCAGCGTCCTATTTGTAGTATACACAAAAGTGAGCATTTTATTTCTTTTAAATTCTTAGAGTGACATCACCAACCTGAATGAAGAAAAAAATTCAGTTTTTTAAAAATTTTGGCCTGATATTCAATGCCAAACAAGTTTATGGGTCAGATATCCAAGTCATCCAAATTCAACACTTCAGCCCTTTCTTTTCCCCAGTCATCTCCCAACAAGGAGCAAAGGTAGATTTATGTCAGACCTTGTATAAGATATGGTAGGTACTTAACAAAAGTTTTATTTTTGAATGGTCAAAGAAAACATAGGATAGAAGGGAAGTGGGAGTAATGGAGAGTTTGAACTCAAATATTCAAATCTATCCCAATATTAGCATTAGCTTAATGTTAACAGCTCCTTTAAAAGACATTTGGTGGGCTGGGGTTGTTGCTCAGTGGTGGGAGTGCTTGCCTGGCATGTACGAGGCACTGGGTTTGATTCTTAGCACTGCATATAAATAAACAAAATAAAGGTAGATTGACAACTAGAAAATATAAATACTTTTTTAAAAAACAGAGTCATTTGGCACTCCTGTTCTTTACCCAGAAACTGTTTAGAAATTAGTGATGTGATTTTGCTACAAATCAGAGTATTTTTCCTAGTTATAACACAAACAACCCAAGTGTCCAAGAATAGGAAACTGGATGAATGGGTTGTGTTCCATCTACACCAGCTTTTTCTATCTCAGCAGATAGTACCATTGTTGAACAAACTGCTCAAACTGGAAACCTAGATTTATTCTTAAATTTCTCCCTGTCTTTTTCAACATGTCATTCCAAGTCTTATCATTCTCCAAAGTATACAGGAAGATACAGATGTATTACAGTGGGCATTAAATGCCACCAAGCCTAAAAGACCACGTATAAAGAAGGTATTACTAATTGTAAGGGTTCACTTACTGGGGATACAGAAGGAAACATGTTGTCCAAGTAGCCAGTTAAGAGGGAGTTGACTCCACCAAATACATGGTAGGTTAAATTGAACTGAGAGCCATAGAGAAAAAGAAAATAATAATATCGGTTCACATATATTCAACATATGTGCAATACTGCATGGATGACTTAAGATATTTTTCACATCTAATGCTAATGAGCTGCAATCAGTACCCACCTCTAGATCCCGAACAGTAGGATCTCTGCTCTTGTCCTCTTCTTTCCAATCTCCTTCCATGGGCAAGAAAAGATATCTTGAGAATGGGACCCAAGTCTAAATATAAAATTCATTTATGAATTATACACATAGCTAATTATACACATGGGGCTAGGGAATGTGCCCACCTAAAGCCTAAGTTCACATTCCGGAAGCCCAGGATCCTAGAATTTCCCTCTCCCCTAGACAAGGCATGAAATGGTCTCTTAGGAACTTCCTCCTGAGCGGATTCTAGCTGTGGCTATGGTAGGTGATGTGGATAAAGCATGGATCTGAGAGCTCAGGTGTTCACAAGTGAGACCCCTCACCGTGTGGGCTAGAGCAAGGGGTGAGGCGAGAATAGGGGTGGGGTTTTCTATTTTTCCTCTTACCTCAGAGCCCATAAATATTAGCAGCCATCTTGATGCAGTATCCACTGCTAACTATTAGGACTAACCAACTTCCCCCCTCCAATGTAAGATATGACTCCTTTATATCTTGAGTTATCCATTAAGTCTACCCTGATTCATTCCCCCATCATCTCATTTGGATTATTGCAGTATTCACCTAACTAGTCTCCCCACCACCGCTCTTGCCTCTCACTCCATTCTCCAACACATAACAGGTGAGTGAGCTTTCTAAACCATCATTCATTATGTTACTCCCACAGATTAAAACATAATACACCTTATGAGGGCACAGAAGGCCTTCAGCTTCACTTGTCCCAGCCTCACCATGGTAGCCACAGTGACCATTTACTAAGAATTTTTCTACCTGAGGTCTTTCAAATATGCTGCATCCTCTATCTAAAATGTTATTCCAATTCTTCATCCTTGAAGTCCAAATTTCCTCTTTTCCCTCAGACTTTCCGCAACCAACTTGTATATCCCTGTTATTTTCTCTCATAGTATCCTGTTTTCTTCATGGTGTTTAACCAAAATTTATGCTTATGTATTTTTCCCTGTTTATTTATATAATGCCTATTTCCCCCATCATATTGTAAACACTGTTTTCAACAATGAATAAATCAGAGCTTAGTACTGTGCACTGCATCATTTTATGTGTGCATTAACTAATCTAGATAACAAGGACTGGAGCTGGGGATGTAGCTCAGTGGTAGAGTGATCACCTAACACCCAAGGCCCTGGGTTCAACCCCCAGTACTGAAAGAAAATATTCAATCTATATAATGAAATATGATTTAGTCAATGAATAATGCTTTCAATAGACATAACTGACAAAAAGTTATATGTAATATAATTTAAAGTGAAAAAGGCATGTTCTAGTAATATAATCCAACTTTTGTTTTAAGATATCAATATAAACCAGATGTGGTGGTGCACACCTATAATCCCAGCTACTTGGGAGACTGAGGCAAGGGGATCACAAGTTTAAGACCAGCCTGCGCAACTTAGTGAGAAGCTGTTTCAAAATAAAATAAAAAGGGCTGAGGGTGTAGCTCTGTGGTGGAACACTTGCTTAGCATGAACAAGGCCCTATGTTCAGTCCCCAGGATAAAACAAAGTCAACATATACTCTATATGTTGTAAAATATCTTCAGGGTGTTAAAGTAGTTATCTGGGTTGGGAAACTGTGACTGTAGTTTGTTTTCTTATTTTTGCTTATCTTTTAAAATACTAATAACACCTTTGTAATCACACATTTTAATTTTAAGACTAAGTAGGTTAATATCTACCTAAACAGTAACTATCAAAATAGGGTCCTTTTGGTTGGAAGCAGTCTAGATGTCCAACATTAAGGGACTATTGAGTCAAGGTCTGGCACATCCATTCGATACAGTGTCATACAGTCATCAAAAATCACTATGAAGAATTCAATAGCATGAAAAATTCTAACAATATTATATTAACTTAAAAATAAAATGGGATGAAATAAAAATAATTTTTAAATGATGTTATTGCAGTGATAGGATTATGGTGATTATTATTTGCCGATTTCCTATAAAACCACTTTCTATAATGAAAGAAAATTACTTTAAAAAAATGAATATGGGCTTGATCGATTTACATATGATCTCGCTGTATTAAATACTATCTTTAACATGAATATTTTTATATTTTAGCCTTTCTATATATTTTGCTTCAAAATCTCCGTGGGATATGTAATGTGTCACTAATTCCACAAGGTGGCAATGTGAGAGTTACTAAACATCTTTGGACACTGCTGGGGTTACCCAGAGCATTGCATTATTCCTAACAGTGTTTGGTTTGGGATTTGATCTTTGATATACGTTGACACTGGCACTCACTTTAGGTTACAAAAATGTAACATATTTTATAGCTCTTGTTTTGACATTATTTAAAGATAATCCTCCTGACCACACATTTTCAGTTCCTCATTATTTCTTTGCTTTTTTTTTTTTTTAAGAGAGAGAGAATTTTTTAATATTTATTTTTTAGTTTTCGGTGGACACAACATCTTTGTTTGTATGTGGTGCTGAGGATCAAACCCAGGCCACATGCATGCCAGGCGAGCACGCTACCACTTGAGCCACATCCCCAGCCCACTTCTTTGCTTCTTAAATCTTTTTCCACTTTAAAAACTAACAATAATCAAATAATACCAACTGCTGTTTCTTGAATGCCTTTTAACAGTGAGTCATCATGCAGAGTTTTCTGTGTACATTACATCATGTAGTCTTGCAGATCAGGTATTACTCTTTCCATTTTGTGGATGAGAAAAGAGGCTAGAGAAGATTGATAATTTGTCAAAGTCATATTTATTATCTTCCACAGCCCAATTCAAACTCAATCTTCTTACATGAATTATTATATGGATAGATTGACAAATAAGTAAATAAATGAATAAGTAAATAAAATGACTATACAGAAATAAATGTACCATGCATGTCTGTGTTTGTCAGGATGAACCCAATTACTATGTATAACCATAAAGATCTAATATAAATAAATAAATGGATGGATGGATTTAGAAAATCACTTAATTCATTGTGGATAATAAAAATTAACAATCACAACAATAAAGTTAAAAATACAACCCAAAGGCAGATGTGGTGACAAACACTTATAATCCCAGTGGCTCATGAGGCTGAGGCAGGAGAAATGCAAACTCAAAGCCAGCGTCAGCAATTGAGCAAAACCCTTAGCAATTTAGCAAGACCCTGTCTTGAAAGAAAGAAAGAATGAGAGAGAGACAGAGAGAGCCCAAAATATACATGTAAAAAAATAGTCATTCTTTTTTTGTTTTTTAAGCTGTAGTTGGACAGCTAAAAAAAATAATTTATTTATTTTTTTTATTTATTTTTATGTGGTGCTAAGGATTGAACCAGTGCTTCGCACATACTAGGCGAGCGCTCTACCAATGAGCCACAACCCCAGCCCCCCCAAAATAGTCATATTCTTATAATTGCTAAATAATAACTATTTTCATGCTCTGTCATAATTCCTTCATGTGTGTATCTGCCTAGTATCTCTTCCTTAATTCGGGAAATGCTAAACATAAAAAGTTAGAGGAAATAAAATATATTTAAAAATTTATATCTTCTGTTTCTTTAATAAACCTAATATGTGAAATTCCTCATGTTATTATTAAGAGTTTCTTGAAATCAGGACTCATAGATTTATAATATTTTTCATTAAAATGTTCTTTATTTTATTCAGTCATTCCCCTATTATTGAATTTAGCAATTTCTTCAAAAAATTAAGGGGTTGTTTCTGCTACAGTGATTATCCTTGTGTAGAAATCTTTGTTTATCTCTGTACCTCTTTTGTTAAGTATGTGTTTCTGGAATCTAAATGACTTATTGGGTAAAAAGAAATTGACTTTTAGTGAGACTTATTTTTGTTATGATTTTTAACATGATTATTAATATGTTCATTTTTAAAAAACATAACAAACCCTCTTTTTCTTACTTCAAAAGCCTTGTTAACCCTCAAATCATTAAAATACTTTCCTATATTTTCTCTTATTTAAAATTTTTTTTCTTCTATTTATTTATTTATTTCAGGGGTGCTGGGTCTTGGACTCAGGGCCTCATACACACTAGGCAAGCCACTCTACCATTGAGCTGTATCCTCAGTTCAGCAAAGTTTTTCTTTTTAAAAAATAAGTTAAGAATTTATATTGTATTTTTAATAGTTTCGTTTCCCTTACTTTCACTTTCCTTATGTGTTATTAGCTGGAAATAATTGATCATATGATGAGTGAGGCCTAGTTATTAAGTAATTTTATCCCTTCCCCTGTTGATTTGTGGAGATGTTTTATCATATGGTATAGATTCTTAATATTCCAAGAAGTCTACCAATTAAGAGTTGGGGCTTTGTGATTGGCCACATCTGGGTTCAGATCCTGGCACTACTGTTTTTTTCCGGTTGTGAGCAAATTACTCAGTCCATTTCATCCTCAGTTTTTCCACCCATAAAAGGGTGATTTTAGGGTCAGTTCCATTGAAGGATGCATGTGGGACAGTTAGCAAGGAGTGAGCTGCCCAGGAAACATCACAGTGAGTATACATCAGCTGCTATGACAGTGACTATGATATTAATAAAGTTATTCTACAAATGGTGTAGAAAGCATTCACTTCAAATCTTTAGTGAATTACTTGGGAATATAATTGAAAACTAAAACAAAGCTGCATTCACACCTCCACAGGGTGGACCTCCGCTTAGTGCACTCACAGCTGAGTTATACACAACCACATCCACAGGGCACACAATTCACATCTTGCCTTGGAAGAAAGACCTGGAAGGATATTAAGGTCAGACTATCTCAAAACTTGGAGAGGTAGTAGTCTGCATTGATTTAATTTTTTGAACAATGATTATGTACATCAAGGGAAAACAAGATTTTCCATTGGAAAAAGTGCTCATCTTAACAAGGTTATGAGTCAGCATCCAAGATTTAGGGCTTATCAAAAATAGCAAAAACATCAGCACTTAAAGCTGCAAGTGCAGAGAGGACCTGAGGAACTGTTTCTTTCTTTTCCATTTTGTTTATTGTAATTTTAGATTGCACGTCATCATCTGTAAAGGCAATGCCCTGCATTCATTTACATTTTGAAATTTTACTTAGCAACTTTTGCCTCTTAGTTTCCAGATGAAATTTAGATTCCCTTCAAGCCTTCATAGTTGCCTACCTGCTGTCTCCACTTGGATTTCTAATACGGATGTCAGACATAATATTCCCAAGCAAACTCCACTCTCAGTAACTGGCCACCCTGCCTTCCCGTTTGCTGACAATGAAACCTTGTGTTCATCCTTAATCTTACTTTTTTCTCTCACACCCCTTATTCTGCCCATCGGGTAATGTAGTAGACTGTTTTTTTTTTTTTCACAGAGATCCATAACCCAATCACTTCTCACTTCCTCCACTGCCTTCATCCTTTATCCCTTGCCTAAAAAAAATTCAACAGTCTAGTAATTTGTCATGTAGTACCAATTTTGTCCCATTACACATTATTCTCAACACAGGAGTCAGAGTGATCCTTTAAAACCCAAATGGGGTCTCATTACTCCTCTGCTCAGAACTCTCCAGCATCTCGCCACCTCACTGAGATCAAAATGCAAAGTCTCCACAGGGTCCATCTCCTACCCACCTGCCTATGACTGCTCTCAACTCATTCCCTGC